GTTCAAATTAGTGATTTTCATGAAAATATGAACAATTTTGAATTGATTGAAGCGCAAAATAACAAAGATAATTGAATTTTTATATTTTGACTACGTTTTTAATATAGACTATGAAAGGAGTAGTAGTTGAACAATCAATTCTGACAAGCTGCAGTAGTTGAACACTCCGGGAGTAGTAGTTGAACTAATAAAATATATGGCAATAGGCACACCAAAAATTTTCAACGTTTTATTGAAATATCAAAAGAATTATAACATATTATTGATTAATAGTAAAAATAATACTGTGAATATTTAATATGTTCATTAAAAAATGAGAAATATTTGTATTTAATTTTTTAATTACATTTTTTATGAATGACAAAGCAAACTTTCAATTATAAATCAAAAAAACTCAATTCAAAACGTTCAATAATTTTTAACTACTCTAATTTTTAGCTATAAAACTTATTTAATTTGCAGTAATTGGGTATTTGCATGAAAATGATTTTGCCCTAAAAATGTAATTAACGCATTCTTTAATAAGTAAAAGACTAGGGAAAAAAATTAAAAATTAATTTAAACAAGTAATTTTTAAATAAATAAATAAATAAAAGTGGTCCTAAATGATAAAAAAGTCACGTGATTCGAAACGTGTTGTGATTGGTTTGACGTCATTGTGTATATATCAGCGCGATTATTTAAATCCATATTAAGTGGTAAATGGTATTTTACAGTGTTTAAAAAGTTCAAATTAAGTTTTTATAACTTTATTACTTTAAGTTTCATTATATTTAATAATTAATGTAAGAATTCACTGAAAGTATTAAAAAAAATTGATAATGGATTTGGCGGAAAATTTTTCTTAAAAAACTGACGTGAATAGTGGCACAACATTATTTTTCATTCGCTTGTTACCACCAACCGTTGTCCACTCTAACCAATTTTCCATGTCTTAATTAATAATTAATAATTAATATAACTTATTTATTAATTACTACGCTTATAAGAAAAAAAAAAATTTAAGGTTATGATTTTATTTTAGATGAATTTCAGGTATTTTTTTACCAATACTTACGTCAAAATGATCTTCACAACAATACAGCCGACTGGATGCTGAGTAATAATTTTTATTTCCACATGCATCTAACCAATTTTTTCGTTTCGATGCATTTAATGGAACATTTATAAAAATTTTATTTGCCTTAGATTTACCAGTATTTTTACATGTTGGCACTATACACCAACAACAACCATTTTTTGATGCCATCAAATAATTAAATAGTTCTTGATTATTATAATAAATAACACTACAAAACGTTTTTTTTTAAACAACAATCACAACAGCTGATTACACGTGCTTAAAAAAGTGTACCGCAAGAGATTGGCGCCAACAATTTCAAACAAAATATGCACTATGACGTCACATACGCGAGAGGGAGTCACTTATTCGTTTAAATTTCGACTATTTTTTATTTATTAAATAATTTAAATATTTATGGAAAAAAACCAAAAATTTTTTTTCCAAAAATTCAAAAAAATTCTACAAAATTATAAAATACTAAAAGTTAAGGAATATAAAAATCTTGCAAATACCCAATTAATACAAATCACAATACTGAACACTAATCTATAAATCTATTAGAGGTAAGAGTGCTGTTAAAATTATACGGCCCCAGTTTGTTCAAGTTCTGGATACCGCTTTGAAAATTTGGAGGTATAGTTAGACGCTAAAATTTAATATCAAAATTATAGTATATGTCTTTTCAAAAAAATATGTATTATTTAGAAAAGACTATTTCATTGGGTAGTACAATTTTTTTTACTTAAAATGATGATATATCGTTTTTTTTACTGATTGTCCGGTTTACGGTTTAGTATCTTTTTCATGAAAACAACAGCATTTATCAGCTATTCTCGACATTTCAACTTTTAAGTTAATAAAAATATAATTGTTTTGATTTATAATTGAAAAAACTTACAGAAATCAATTACTGTATCATTCAATAATTATAACATGCGCATATTACTCATAATGAATATACGAATTTTGTATTACAACAATTCGAAAAGTCTGTTCAAGTACTGGTCCCATTTTTATAAGTGTTCAAGTACTGGGTACTTTACCTTATTAAATGAATGTATTTAGAAAATTTAATTTAATTTTTTTTATTGATATATTAAAAGGAATGTTTAATTTTTAATTTATTTATTATCGTAAGTTTTATTAGTCATTAATTAGAGGTGCCATGACGAATTCCAATGATGTGTGATAGGTAATTAGTTAATTAAGCAACCGAATAAAGCGACTTATATTTTTGTATTATCATTGAATTTTTAATTACTAAAAAGAAAGGACTGTGATTTTTTTTAATGCAGCTCAATACTTCCATTTTTTAAACATGGCTTACTATTTATACTGCAATTTAATAAATAAATAAAACACCTAACAATCAATTAATTATATTTACTCTCTTTTAAATAATAAAAATAAGCTTATTTTTTTTTTTATTTTTTTTTAAGTTGTCAAAATAAATTTAAAGGAAGAAACATTCGTGGCAGGAAAAAAAAGTACGAGCGTGTTAAAAAATGTTTGGAGAATAATTTTAAACACAAGTTTGATGTTATTGTGTCGTGGGACCTAATAAACAGTACTGGGTACTTTACCTTATAAATTATACTAATTTTTTATTTACTCTTCCAGGTTTCTACTCATGGCGCAACACAACCCGCGGATCCTGGTTCATGCAAGCTCTGTGCATTGAACTCCGAGAAAATGGAACTCGCTATGACATCCTGACTCTCCTTACCTTCGTAGCTCAGCGCGTCGCTCTGGACTTCGAGTCCAACACCCCCGACAACATGACAATGCACCAACAAAAACAGATTCCTTGTATCACTTCAATGTTGACGCGTCTCCTTAAATTTGTACCGAAAAATCCTGAGTCTAATGCTACCGGTAGTTCATAATTATAAATTACAATCTCAGTAATGATTAATTACTGAAAAGAAAAAAAAAACGGCAATGATTCGGTGCCTATGGAACAATTGCATTTAAAACTGCATTTAAATAATTAACAATTTTATTTATAAATAATTCTACTTAATAGTTAATTATTTTTTCGAGGCTTCTAAATTAATTATGAAGCTGTTATTTTTTTTTTCATAATATTGAAATTAGCAGTAAAGTTTTTTTTTTCAATAGATAAATAAATTAAAATTACTAGCAATTAAATTGCAATAAAAAAATTTCAAATATTTTTTTTTTGTTACAAAAATAATTTGCTAATTTCAGTGACCTATTTTTACGTAAATTTTTTACTTTTTTTACTGAAATATTCTAAGAATTTTTTGAGTTATTTTTATTTTGCTCAATTGAGAGAGTAACTAAGCCTTAAAATGTCTTTCACTATTGTGATAAGTGTATAGCGTGCAAGTTAGTTAATGTACATGTAGCTGCCAATCGTGATAATGTTTTTTTTTACGTAAAAAAAAATTTGTATTATCTTTATATCAGTAGAAAAAAATTAATGTACTGGAAAGTAAAGTTAAATTTATATTTATACTTGCACAAATATCGGTACGATCTTGGGAAAAAGTTCAAATAGTTTTTAAATGCTATATCAAAATATTTAATATTAATAAATGTAATAATTTTAATATTTAGTCAATTTTGGAGATTCTGTGTCAGGTATTTTCATGCTTATTGTAATAATGATAATAAGCAATAATATTATTATTATTATATATGTATCTTTTACAAGTTTAATAAAATTAATACGTGTAATTATGTTTTTTTTACTTATAATGTTACTACTCAAAAAATTTTTTAATGACATTGAAATTAAAAAAAATTTTTTTAATTAATTTAACAAAAAAAATTTGTTTAGAAAAATTATTTTTTAATTTTTTTGTAATTTCTACATATCAATTTTTTTTTGTAATTTTTTTTGCCATAACTTATTTGTTATAAAATTTTAAAAATTATTAAATGTATGCTAAATAATTTTTTATGAAAATTAAGTTAGCCATCTAAAAATTTTTAGAATTTTTTTTATTGAAAAATTATTAAAAAAAAAATTCAAAAGAAAAAAATTTTTAAAATTATCCGTGCAATTTTTTTAATATTAATTTAATTAATAAAAAAGATAATTAAAAATTTTTAAACATCGGCTAATTTTATCATTCATTTTTTATGCGCTTGCGCGGGCTGTCAAAAATTAAGTATATTTATAAACATAACCTTAATTTTTAATCCGGATAATAGCAACAACCTGTTACTACCTTATGTAAATAAATAAAATGATTACGTGTAATTATATTAGTAAAATACTAGTTATATTGTTAATTAGTGGGGCAATTAATTGTTTTGTTGATCCGACATTAGAACATACAACTAAGTAAGTAGTAAATAAATTATAAATATTTTATTTATTGATTTATAATTTTTGTGATTTATGTTACAGTCGGGATCATTACATAGATCCGCACTCTATTTATTACAACAAATATACCCAACAATTGGATGTAAAAAAAGAATTACAAGTAATTAATAGGTAAATATAATGATAATTAAATTAAGAGACCATTTGGTGAAGATTTTTTTTAATAAATAAATTATGACAGAAAAATTAAAAAAAAAAATATATTTACATAAATAATAAATAAATATATTTACATTAATAATAAATAAATATATTCTACATGTAAAAACTGTCAAAAAATATCTAAGCAATTTTTCTATTACAATTTTTATTTTTTAAACATAAATTATATCTATAAAAAATTTTATCAACTACTGCTAAGTTTTAAAATAATGACATTAAAGTTATCAAGTCACTTCACAATTTTTTAATTTTATGTAACAAAAAATTTTGTTACAAAAAACTATTTAAAAAAAATTTCATTTAAAATTTTTTAAAATTTCTATATGTCAATTTTTTTTCTATAATTTATTTGTTATAAAATTTTTCAAATTATTGACTATACGCTAAATTAATTTTCATTTTAAATTATGATACTTAAATCAGCTGATATTTAATAGTTTTTAATGACATTAAATTTAGCTGTCACTTGAGAATTTTTTTTAATAAAAAAATTTGTTCCAAAAAATTATTTTAAAAAAATTGCATTTTTAATTTTTTAAAAATTCTACATGTCAATTTTTTTTGCCACAATTTATTTTGTACATAAATTTTTTGTGTGCTTATAATTTTTTTGAATTTTTTGATAAATTTTTCTTATAATAATTAATTTTATTATAAATATTAAAAAAAAATTTGAAGATTTAAAAAAAATTAATTTTAGAAAAATTATAAAAGTTTTTTTAATTTCAGAGCAGCAAATAAATGCGAATGTCATGTCAACAGTTTAGTTAAAAAAAATGACGTACCAGATGAATTATTTTCACGTAAACTTGTTAATTTATTACTTGCTGCTTCTTCCTTTGAGGTAAATAATTTTAATGTACTATAAAAAAAAAATAACAGGTAAAAGATACTAAGAGAATATTATATATTATATACCATAACAAGAAAAAAATTATTGGTAAAAAAAAATAACAAGTGTTTTTTACAATATTTAAAGAATTTCAATATATTATTTTAATTCTACAGGAAAACGGTAATTTATTAACATCTAGTATAACAATTGTATTAACTCCCAAAGAGCTGAGAAAATTGAAAGACTTCAGCCTCGGGAAGTTAACAATACGTGAAATAGATCCGATAATCTCTAACATCTTCAAGGAACCTGAGATAAGTTATGCAAAAAATATCTTCACGTCGATAAAAGATTTATTATTTAACGTGATTATTTACGTGAGTATTTTTTTTATAAAAGGTTTTGATATAAATTTTGTAATTTAATTTATTTATTTACAGAAAGAAGTAACGCTGGTAACAGTAGTAATTTTGTATATATCTTGGATAATATTAACAACAGAATGGAATTTGTTGAAGCTGATTTTAATACTTATACTTTCGATATTTGGAGCCAGTTTTGTTATAACTTGGCTGCAACTTTTAAGAGTACGTTTGTTATTTTTATTTATTTATTTATTTATAATAATCTGTCAAATTTTTTTAATTCATAAAATTGATTTTTTTATTTTAGGAAGCAGAAATAACATTAACTGTAAAACAAGTTCAGTATCAAAAATTACCAATTCAATGTAACCCAAGTAAAATGACTTGGTGGGATAAATTATGGACGGCATTCAGTTGTAATTTTTTTTTTATTATAAATTTTTCTATTTAGGATTTAAAAAATAATTTTTTTAAGGAAAAAAAATTTTTAACTAAAAATGCTTACATATAAAAAAAATGTATTTTTTTCTAAATTTTTGTTTCAAAAATTTGAAATTTTGAATTTCTTATAAAAATTGAAAATTTTTTAAAAATTATTTAATTTTAAAACTAAACTTTTATTAAATCTTGATTTTTTAGCCTCTTAAGAGTTTATTTTCAATTTTTATAGCTAAAAATTCAAAAATTTTTATTTCTGACATAAAAAAATTAAAAATTAATTTTTTTTTTTTTTTAAATTCATTTTTTATTATTTCAGTAAATTTTTACATTCTTTAGATTCATAGTTAATGGGAAAAAAATTTTCTTGAAATTTTTTCTATAAAAAATTAATAACATATTAACAAAATTAATAACAAATTAAAAAAATTAATAAAATTTTCAGCTGGTGAAGATTGCAGAAAATATTACGAAGGAATGATGGAAAATCCATTCCTGCAAGTAACTCCAGCGCAAGCATTGTCGCACATGATTGCTACCTGTATAATGACACCAGCCAGTATGATTGGCAACGCTCTTAGTGATTTTGTAAATAATTCTACCAGTAAGTATCAATTATTATTATTATCATTATCATTATTTATTATATTATTATAACACTGAAGTTAGCAGACGTCTAAAAATTTTTGATTTTTTTTATTAATTAAATTACAACTAAAAAAATATTTCTAAAAAATTGCGCTTATAGTTTTTCAAGTTTTTTACATGTGAAATTTTTTTTTTTTAATTGTTTAATTGAAATTTTTTCAATAAAAAATTTCTAAAAATTTTGGAATGTCGGCTAGCTTTATTTTCATATATTAATTATCAAGTTTCAATCAATAAAATACTAAAAATAAAATTGATTTTTCAGAACATCTGTGGTGGCCAGTCCAGCTGATAGTAGCTCCATTGTTAATAATAGGAATAATAATAATATTCATCATGATACTAATTTTCTTAGCAGGTGGTACTCTGTCCTGGGGGTTCGGTCCATTTTCTATTTTCTCTATCCGCGGAGCCACGGATTCAAGGAGAGATGGGAATTTACCTAGTACGGATAGACAACCTATACAACCTATTTATAACTTCAACGTATTGACATTAATTATTATATTTTAATAATATAAGTTATACTACTTGGAGCGATAAATAATTTATTATTTTATTTTTAGTTGCACGGAGGACATATTCACGAGATCGCTATTAAAAACACCGACGAAAACTCTACGTCTGTTGACGTAAAGTCTACTCCAGCACCCGGTACGTCGATGAGTTGCATCCAAGGTCCAGTGAAGATAAATGTGATAAATTCTTCGAATTCATCGCTGGAAAACAGCGAAGAAAGTGGAAAAACTTTAGATAAAGTTGAAGAGATTTCTGAAAAGGAAATTAAAGATAATAATGATAGTAATGGAGATGATAATAATAAGAATGACGAGTGTATTTGTAAAAAAAAGTCAAACCCAGTCTCTGAATCCGGCGATAGTTGATTGTTTTATAGTTTATTAATTATTAATAATTAATTATTAAGATAAGATTGAAGTATACTTTCTGATTTTTTAGTGATATGTTTTTTATATTAATTATAAATTTAAGTCATACATTTTTTTTTAATTGTGAAAACAGAAATTAATTTTTTTTTAGATACTTCAAGTATTTTTTGTCACTAGTGTTAATATTATTGTTAGTAACTTAACTTGAAAAAAAAAAACTATTTTTAGTTAAATTATATTGATAAAATTGATATAATTCCAAAAATAATTAATTTTATACTCAAAAATACTAAAAAAAAGCTTCAATAAAAAATTTTTATTAATCATTTATATTGATAATATTGATTACGATTAATTTAATAATTATGATATTGAAAACAAAACACTTTTTTACTATTGAAAAAATTTTTTTAATTATTTTAAATGTTTTTAAAAAAATTACAGTTTTTAAAATGAAAATTAAATTAAAAAAAAAAAAAAATGATAAAAAATTTCATAAGTTGAAAATTTGAAAAATTATCTGTGCAATTTTTTACATTGAAATTAGCAAACACTTAATAATTTTATGATTTTTTTTTTAAATAAACTCTAGATCTATAAAATTATTTATAAAAAGTAATTACACTTATAATTTTTTAAAGCTTTTGAAGATACAATTTTTTAAATAAATTTTTCTTGCCTTAATTTATGAGTTAAAAAATTGTCAGATTTTTCTCAATTTCAGTATCACAATTTTTTAATTTTTTCAAAAAAAAAGTAGTCCTTGAAATTTAAAAATATCTGTCAATTACACTATTAGTGAAAATAAAGACACTAAAGTCAGCAGACGTCTAAAAATTTTTTAATTTCTTTTTATTAACTAAATTACAACTAAAAAAATATTATAAAAAATTGCACTTATAGTTTTTTAAGTTTTTTACATGTGCAATTTTTTTTTTAATTGTTTAATTGAAATTTTTACAATAAAAAATTTCTAAAAATTTTGAAATGTCGGCTAACTTAATTTTCATGTGAAAATAATAAAATTATCAAATTTTTTTTTAAATTTCATCATTTCTGTTTCTCAAAATCGACACCCACACACCAGCAGGTGATCACATGGAACATAACCATCACAGACCACCGCATTGGCATCACACGTACTTATAAAATTAGAAAACAGTACAATCTGTCATATTTAACCGGTTCAAAAATATTTATTTAACATTAAAAAAAAATAATAACAACAATTTTAACAATGGAAAATTCAAAACTGACTAATGTAAGTACTTAAATTTTTCTATTTTACATTTTATATAAATAATTCCAAAACTAACCAACAAATAATGACATACTAAAATTAGCTGATATTCAACAATTTTTGATTTTTTTAATCAATAAAAATGAGTAAAAAAATTACACTTAGAATTTTTCAAATTTTTTCTTTTAATTTTTTTTTTTGTTAAAAAAAATCTTACAAAAAAATAAAAAATTTTCTCTTCTAAAAAACATGAAAATCTTCCCTAATTTAGCATATATTTAATAATTTTATAATAAATAAAAATTAGAAAAAAAATTGACATGTAGAAATTAAAAAAAAAAAAGACCATAAAATCTAATTTTTTAAAAATAATATTTTTTTTTAAATTAAATTAAAAAATTCTCAAGTGAGTGCTCACTTTAATATCATAAAAAAGTATGACATTAAATTTAGCTTTTACCTGACAATTTTTTAATTTTCTTTAACAAACAAATTAGCTCCAAAAAATAATTTAAAAAAAATTATCATATGTAAAAACTTGAAAACTATA